CATGTCGCTTATGGGAAAAAGGTCCTGGGCCAGGGCTGAGCCAGCCCCACAAGTCATCTTGCTGGGCGCTGGGACAAGAGTTGAGCCAGTGGCCATGAGTGGGGCGGTGACCGGTCCTGTGGCAGGAGCTGTGGCAGGGGCTGTGATGGGCCATGACTGGGTCTGTGGCAGGGCCAGAGCTCTCTTTGGTTGGGACCAGGGCGAGGCTTGTGGCTGGGCGCTGGCCTGCCATCCACCTGGACCAGAGGCACTAGGCTTGTGACTCTGGATCCCCCATGACCAGGGCCCCCAGGGGTTACAGGCAGGAGCAGGACCTTGGGTTCTCAGTGACATGACCCTGATGTGGCCCAGACAGCCTTGTGCAGCTCAGGAGGCAGCTTCCTTTCCCCACCCCTGTCCTGGCATGTGACCCGACCCTCCCTCTTCCTCTTCTATAAGGGCAGGGATCTGTCCTGCCGGCCCCCTTGGTGTGGAGAATTTGGTGGCCTCAGCTGGTTGCTGGTGCAATGGACAAAGCTTCACCGTCCATCGGCTGGGGGTGCCTGGCCACCTGGGCCCCTCCCGGGCACTGTGTGGTGAATGAGGTTGGCCTGGCAGCTGAGATTAGGAGGTGGGGCGGGCGGCTGCTCGGCTGCCAGGGAGCAGGTCCCACCTGGGGTCCCTGGCCTGTCCCCAGCCACACTGCACACCCTTGGCCCGTGCACTGTCCAGGCAGGGCCTCTGCCCCCGCCCTCCATCCCCCGGCTCCTGTGCATCTGTCAGCCGCTCCAGCCACTGAGTCCCACTCTCTTTGGTGGACGGGAGTCTGGGTGCTTTCCCGACACCCTGGAGTGTGGGGAACTGGCCCATCTCAGGTTTCTTGGGGGTTCTTTAGGTCCTGGATGTCTCCTTGGCGACACCACAGGATTTAAGGCCGCAAACTCCCCAAATCAGCCTGGGCTGCATGTGTAACCCCCCACCTGACCTGTAGGCCAGTGGCAAGCAGCCCGTCCACATGCCCGCCTGTGATGGCGGAGGGTGGGTGGGCTCACCTCCCTCCTTCTGGCCCACAGCCCTGTGGCCTGCATGTGGGCGGGCGGCTGGGCATTCGCACGCAGACCCTTGGCCTTCGGGGCTGGTGTGCCCGGTGAGCTTCAGGAGCTCGTCTGGGACTCGGGGTTGGGAGCAGGGCCTCTCTCCTCCCTCAGTGAGCACCGGGGCAGCAGGGGCGCCAGCCACTCGCCATTGGCTAGACCGTCCCCCAGCAGGCCACCTTCCTCACACTCGCAAGCGCAGGTTCGGCCCCGCGGGAGGGCGGCTGTCAGCTGGGGGCCGAGGCCTCGAGGCTGTGCGCCTGATGCAATATTGATGGAAATGCAATATCCAGAGGTCGCCGGTGCCGGCCTCTTCCCATGTCAGGCTCGGAGGAGGTGGTGAAAGCTACAGGTCCCAAGAGAGGCAGCCTGGGGCCTGAGGCTGGACAGGTAGAGGGGAGAGAGGTGCCCTGCGGGAGGTGCTCCTTTTGTAGCTCGTCTCAGGACAGCTCGGCCTGCGCGCACCCAGGGAAGTCCAGGCCCTGCCTTAACCTCCCCACCTTGACCTCGGCCAAGTCCTCCTGCTCCCTGGTCAGTCCTTCTGCACAGTGAGGGGTGGGGCAGCGGCTAGAGAAGCCCCCGGCACCCCGAATCCCTCCCATGGGGCTGGGCAGCAGCAGTTAGGAGCAGCAGCCCAGGGTGGCAAGCATGGCCCTCCCAGTGGGGGAGCCAGGCTCCTCACACCTCCGTGGCGTCTGCTGTCCTACTGGCCCCACCCCCTCCTCACTGCCACCAGGGCTGGAGCGGCTCTGCCCAGGAGGTGGTGCTGGCAAGTTCTGAGCATCTCTGAGTCTCAATTTTCTCATCTGTAAAATGGGATTGAGGAGCCTAGTTGCAAGGTAAAGAAGCGCCCATTGAGCACCCAGCAGGCACCAACTCTCTTCCTCCCCCAGATCCAGAAGGGCCCTGAAACCCCTTCATTTTACAGATGGGGAAACTGAGACCCACACAGGGCACGGGACTCCCCTGGGAAACCTCCGTCCCAGGGAGGGGCACCCCTGGCTGCACGGCCGGTCACTGAATCTCAGCCGTGGTGACTGGTGTCCGGCCCGGCTGCAGGTCATGATTTTCCCGGCCAGGTGGCATTACAGGCCTGTAACCCGGCTCAATGAGGCCTGTAACCGCTGTCCTCAATGTATAATGCATGGCTGCCCAGCGCCGCTCAAATCTCACCAAAAACACAGAAAAGGAGACCACAGCCCTCAGGAGAGGCGCCAGCCTTGGAGCAACTGCCCAATTTGGGGGTAACATGCCCACTGTCAGGACCCCACAGGTCAGGACCCAAAGTCTGCCGCTCGCTCCTTCTGGTCCCTGTAGATGTGGTGCGTGTCCGGGGCCTAAGTGAGGGATGCAGGGATGTGCGTGGGCCCATCAGCTAGGAAACACTACAGGAGACCCCATCTGGCTAAAACTCAGAGATCACGGTGATGCCCCAATGACAGTGGCGAAGAGGTCAGTCCCAGTGCGCCAGCCCCACCAGGTGCTCTCCTTTACTCCCAGCAACCAGAGTCCTTCCCGAACTACAAGCCAGGAACCCGGGGCCCAGGGGCACCTCCCCAGGGCTTCTCCTTGGTGCAGTGGAGTGGATTCAGCCCAGGGACCGGGTGGCCTGAGGTTCCCCAGCTGCAGGTGCTGCATGGGGGCCAAAGCTCATTCCCTTCAGTCTCAGACCAACTTCCAACTCTCCCTCCATGAAGGGCAGCTGCCACCCCAGCTGATCCCCACACTCTGCCAGGGAGGAGAGGTTCTCCCCCCTCCCCCAGAGCAGATTCCATTGGGAGAAGGGCCAAGGGCTCCCAGGAGGGCAGGCAGGCAGGCCCACAGCCCTGTCCTGGACGGGCAGAGCCGGGCATTGGGGTGGCCCTGCAGTGAGGGCCCGACTCAGCCCTCCTCTATCCCTCAGCCTGTCACTGCCAGCTTCTGTAGCTGTGCCCTGGGGTCTGGGTCTGACCAACCCTGTTTGCAGCTCCTAAGCAGGCTATGTCTGCATCATGGACACTGGAAGGAGACATGAGACTCCAGGGTCCAAGACACGGGGCAGAGGGCAAACATCATGTCTTGTTGGGTCCCCTTGCCCTCCAGTCCCAGGGTGTGACATGCACCCAGCCCCCCAGTCCCAGGGTGATGTGATAAGGGCCCAGATGACTGCTCTGCACCCAGGAAGCCGGCGTCAGAGCTGGGGACCCCGGAGCCTGGGCAGCCCCGTGTTATAGTAGCAGCGAGCCGCCTGCCCCTGTCTGGGTCCCTCCCTGCAAACACGGCCCTGAGACACGCCAGGAAAAGAGCAGCCAGGATTGGCATCCTTAGTGGGGGTGCAAGGGGCCCACCGCCTGCCTCTTCCTGCACTGTGGAGGGTTAAGGCGGGTGGTAAGGGATCCCACTTGCGGCCCCAGCCCGCCTAGCCACCTGACACCTGTGCCTTCAAATATTAATGTGACGCCTCCCACTCCTGGGGGCAGCAGCTGAGACAGCCCCCGACAGCCCAGGACACCACAGCTCCCTGTGCAAGCAGCCCAGCCCCTGCTTCCACAGGTCCTCCCTGCTGGGGGCTGGCAGACGCTCCCCAACCCGCTGTGCACTGGGGCTCCCGGTTCGTGCAAAGAACGAGGTGTGAGGTGTGAGGTGTGTGGTGGTCAAGCAGGCAGGGTTTTGGGCTATGTTCCTGCCCAGTGGCCATGGTGGGTGGAGAGTCCTGGACGGGAGTGTGATTGAGGGGCTGGGGACGATGGGTGGGGACCTATGGTTAGGGCACCCCCAGCCTGGGGTGGCCAGCTAAGGGGTGCACCTCCTTGCCGGATGCAGGACTGACCGACCTATGGATGTGCCAGGGGACACTCAGAGCAGCCAGGGCTGTGCTCCAGCAGGCCCCGCAGTGTCCCCTGCAAGGCTCGGTGTGAAGGAAAATGCAGGCCTCTCGCCTTCAAAGCAATGAAGAGTTTCAAGGCAGAGCTTCAGGGGTTACACCGGGCTGCAGTGGGGACCCGGCTCAGTGGGGCTGAGCTGGGGGGACACCTCCAGGCCAAGGCTCTGATTGCCCAACAGTCAGTGCTTGGGGCAGGAGAAGTGGCCAAGGACAGGGCTGTGTCTTGCCCCAGACATGGGGTAGGGTGTGGGGGTGAAGTTAAGGTGACTCAGCAGCCCCCAGACATGGGGCAGGGTGTGGGGGTGAAGTTAAGGTGACCCAGCAGCCCCCAGACATGGGGCAGGGTGTGGGGGTGCAGTGAGGGTGACCCAGCAGCCCCACCATGGATTCCTGGACCACAGGCTCCGGGGCCCGTCTTGGTGGTCCGTTTCTAGGAAGCTGTGGGAGGGTGACCTGGACACTGTGTGACCAGCCCTAGGCATAGTGCCACTGCCGAGGTGTGGGCACAGCCGCATGGCCCTGCTTATATGGCTGAGCGCCAAGTTCCTTGTGGTTTTTCCTGAAGCTGGGGGCCAGGCTCCTGCTGTCCTCTGAGGGAACCGTTCCAGGGGGCTGTCTCAGCAGAGGCTGGGGACAGTCTGGGAGGGTGTGTGCGCACAACTCTTGTAAAGCCAAAGAGAGGTGAGCACAAGCTGGACGCCGGGCCCTCGCCCAGCGCCTGGAGCTGCTGAGTTAAGCGGCCTCTAGAGAGAGCCCGTGAGCCGGGCCTTGAGATAGGGGCTCCCCGGTGACGGTGGAGGCAGCACTGGGGGCACAGTGAGTGGTGGAACTCAGCAAAGTGCATAGGCTTTGGGGAGCTCCGGTAACCTGGTGCGGAGGGGGTGGAGAGACACGGGGGACAGAACCTGGAGGGATACTCGACCTGCTCCCGGCCTGTTCCAAAGTGCACAGCACCCCCATACTGACGGGGCCGGGCGGGACACCCCTCACCCTCGCCTGGCAGCACAAGCAGCCCAAGTCCAGGCCCACCCGGGCCGCCCCTGACCAAGCCTGTACGCCCCCAGGTACCGCTCCTGATGACGCCCCCGCCCCCGCCGTTCCCCCCTCCTCCACTGTCAGCTGC